GGATTAACCGGATTTACATTGAACCCTATGGGGAAATTCGCCTCAGGTTGCGACCAAAGGCGGAGGGCGGAACGGATTAACCGGATTTACATTGAACCCTATGGGGAAATTCGCCTCAGGTTGCGACCAAATTCGGAGGGCGGAACGGATTAACCAGATTTACCATGAACCCTATGGGAAACTTTACCTCGACTTGAGACCAACTCGAGTTGCAACCAGAGTCACGGAACGGATTAAGTTCGTATCCCGAGGTACCACTGTATACATTTTTCTTACATATACACATGTACACCCACACACAGAGTAACGGTGGCTTTCTGAACAATGAAGCTCTGTAACAATACAAACTTTCTTTTAACTTTTAAACTTCTTTTGAAACATCCTGGGTACAAATTCTCTTGTGGAATTCCCAATTTACACCACATGCCAGATAAACTCGTAGAATGAGACATGTGGCTGAACTGGTGTCAGAAGCATCCCCAGATGAGTGTTAAAGTAAATAAAGATGGTGTGTGCCACTGTGTGATTGTAACCACCATCTTGACCTTTTAGATCACTACCTCTCAGACACCCCTCTGTGTTCCTCCGTACTGTAGTGCCTCACATCAGCACCGTGCTCCCCTAAGAAACATGCACTTGATGTTTACCATGACAGTTGTCCTCATCCACAGATCTATGGGGAAATCTTGCCTGATCAGGCCCCTTTTCATATGGAGGAGTTGCCTCCACATATATCTGTACAAATGGACAATTAGTGGGGGAGGTAATGACCATTCATGGCAATGAACAGTGGACAAGGGTAAACCATTTCCACATTCATTCAATATTGCGAAAGGAATCATTTGAATTCTCCCTTGATACTGGAATAATTTATACTAAAAAAAGCCAAAACACTTTCATTATGGTAATGCTTTCAAATTAATGGCCTTTAAAATTGTCCTCTATGCCTAAAGCATATTTTTGACAGTCCATCACACCTTAAAGCTTTTTTGGGAGTGGGGGGAACTAACATAGAAATCTATTTTTCCTGGTGTAAAAGTTACTGGCAGTTATGTTTTCTATTCAGTGACATAAAAGTGGTGGAATTGAATAAACACGGAGCAATGGGGTAGGAAACAGAATCTCTGGAGGGCTAGAGATAACTTTTGAACCCTTTGGCCCTCCATGTTTGGCTTCATTGCCTCTGTTTTCACTAGGAAGTTGTTAGCACCAGTAGTACCAAGCTGTATTGTTCCCCATAGGCCTCTGCTATTTTGAAAATCTAGCCCAGGGAAACATTGACAAGGGGAGGGGGTGCAGTAGTGCAATACAGGCACAGAATGAAGTTAATACAATGAAAAGAAAGTATGACCACCCTGATTCAGTTCTTTTCATGGAAGCTCCAAAGGAGTACTGCTGGTGGAGGTGGCAATCTTATTTCTGACCTGAATGATTATCAAATGAAAGCTATCAAAACTTTCAGGCAAGGCTCAAATCCAATTTAATGCTACTCTAATAACATTCTTCTTCTTCTTCCTCTTCTGTCTTTCCTCATAATATGAAACACTTCCATAGTTGGACTGCTATTAGTATTACACAGATTAAAGCACTACCTATGTGTTTTTATTCATTAACATACCTATTGTAGCACCTTGTGAGTAGCCAACATAATATAACTGTTGTTGGCCAGTTTTCTGTAGAATAAAATTGAGGACAGCTGGAAGATCATGCTTTGCCATCTCATCAAAGCTAGAGAAAGATACAAGACACAAGAACTGAATTCAGGAATGAATTTAAAAATCTGATCTGGATTCTAAAAGAAACCAAAATAATTTGGGAATGGTACATGATTATCCTCTAGAGGGTGTACCAAAAATGCCTATTGTATATTACATATACATCCCACAATTCTGCAGAAACAATTTGTAGACAGATGCAAACATTGGAGTACTGAATATACAATATGGATTAGAAAGGATGCATTCATTCTTAGAACCAAACACCAGGTCTTGTTGAATTATTTTGGATCTTAAATTTTTTGGCATGGTACAGAATCTCTTTTCTCTCTTAGTTCTCTTAGTAGAGAATCCATATCCCTGTTGTAAAATATAAAAACTGCAATAATTAAATATACCTGAAGGCCCAAAATTCATCTTTGCTTACAGACAGATTTTGGTGACTTCTGGACCATGTATTTCCCCTGCTGTTTCCAATCCAAACATCATATCCAGCATCTGCGAGGATGAAGCCCAAACTGTTGTGGGCCAAGTTGGTCACCCAGTTGCTTCCATCTCCTAGTAAACCATGCTGGAGAAACACTACAGGTTTCAGACCTGGAGTAAAATATAATGTTTTCCTTAGATATTAAGTTCATTTTGTTTTACTAAGAATAAATGTGTCAAAAGGATGGAAAGAAGGAAAAATTATGATATACCCTTGTAGGATGCATTAGCTTGGATTTCAAAATGTTTCCGCAAATGGATGTATTTCAACTTTAAAGTTACAATAAGATGTGAGTTTCAGCTCCCAAATGTCATATTTCTTAAATAGCAAAAATATCCAGTGTCATTCTAAATCTTTGTAATGTGTCAGATTTCTTCCCTATAAAGAACTAAGTTTTTTTTGTGCTAATTTTTGATATAGGCTTATCATTATTATCATCAGAATTTCATTTACAGTTGAAATTCAGATAATAATTATTAGGCTTCCAAATTCAGTGGGAGATGTTTAAGTACACCGTTAACTCCGGTAATGAAATACATGAAATCCTAAACTCATTAAGTTGGAGTTATTCTGTGTGAAGATTTAAAAATGCTGTTTTTTAAGTAGATGATCATAGGATTGTACTATTTGGCACGTAACATTGGCTGGATTACAGTATGTTCTTCAGTTTTATATTTTCACTGCAGTTTGAAAGTTCAGATTTCTCTTATTTTCCCTTGCAAGTACTGCGCTAACCAGCTTGCTATCCTACTGGAAAAGTGATTCCTCTAGCAGTGTTCAGGCAGAGTCAAAATTGTAATTGTGTTAAGGTTTAATTTTATTAGAATTTAATTCTAATTTTATTACAATTATTTAATTGTAATCTGCTGCTGGTTTCTTAATTGAAATATTTAAATATGCCCGATTTCTAGATTCTTTTCAGAGGGTTTTAATTAATGGTTTAATATAATAGTGGTATGTTTTACTACTATAAAGCCATTACACATTATGTAGGTTTTCAGAACAGGCTAATCCAGAAGCAAACTATAGGATGATTTTCTGTCCTGCAAGTACCATATCAGTGTAGTCACAATTTTTCAGCTTGATGTCACATCTCAGTTGATGGACAAGCATATCAACCAAACTCTGAATGAACTCCATAATTTATTTCTCCACATCTGGAAAAGTTAATGCATCTTGCGGTTATTTGGTATCTTGTGCAACTTTCCTCAGCTATGAAGGAAGTGACAAGACAAGAAGGAATGGAGAAGATGAAAATGACAAGTGCCAAACTCAAGAGGGTCCTTAGTAATGGATCTTCCAGTGCTTCCTTCCTACTACACTCTGTTTACTTGGCAATGATGTAGGAAACAGAGGTAACCATGTAAATTCCTCACAAAATGATGCAGTAATATGAGGTCAATATTAAGTTTTTGGAAAGTTAAAATTGTGGCTTGTATTGATAGCAAAGCAAGTGCCAAATTTAGCAGGCTCTACCTGGAAGCTGGCACTCTGCCTCAAGATCTGCCAAAGTTGAATGTGAGCAATTGCAGGAAAACAGGGGCCGAGGTGTTAGAAGGTTTATCTAAGAAGAGCCAGCTCAGCTCAGAAGTGAGAGATTTGGGAAGAAACCATGTCAAAGAAAATGTGCCTTCATTAACTCACTATAACTGAAACTGGGAATTTACTCTTACAGTTTTCACAACACTGTATTTACTACAGTGCAGCATTAAAGGTACATCCCTGAATTCCATGCCATTCTTGCTTCTTGATCTTGTCACCTAGATGGGACTCATTGTTAAGAATTATCCATTTTAGCTAGCATTTGATTTGTCTGGACCTTTTTCCATCCATCCATTCATGAAGATAGTCTTGGAGATGTGCCTCATTTTTATTTTACTATGTTTTTACCTCACCCTATTGTATATCATATAAATTTATCTTACCGGAATCCAGCTGATTTTTTCTGCCAGATGGAATTCTGTTCAAGCTAAGAATATAGCCATCCACTGTCATCACTTTATACTCCTCGCTCAGGTAGCCTTTGTGGCTAATAAGTTTATTCTGCAACAGAGTAAAAACAAACCAACGAATCAGCAGATTTTCACAGAATTCCTATTGTGGCACTATCTAATCTCAGCTTCTGAAATGATGTATGATGTATCTACAGCTGAGAACTGAATAATTACTAGAGAAATATAGTTTTAGGAAGCTGATAGTAAGTTATTACCATAAATGCCTCCCTATCACAGCTCTTCTTCTCTCTCTTTTTAAGGCTGTTATGATGGTGCCTTATATTTTACCCCTCAATTTCTGGGTCAGTGGTTATTTTTTTCTAGGAGATATAAAAATAATGATTGAAATAGCACCACATTATGCATCTTTTTAAAATAAATATTAACTAGAAAGATCTGAGGGAAGACGTGTGATCAACTGATGGCGACATATCATTTTGCCCCAAATCATAAACTCATCTTGAATCTGGAGTAATTGGGCTTAGGTGAAAATGATTGGTATCTCTTTTTTCCATTGTGCACAGTAGAAGATCATTTGAATAAAGAAATATATATACTGTGATTTGATGTTTATAAAAATTTGATACAATTTATCCAGCTTTCATCAGGTCTATGGGAAGTGTTCAGTTGGCTTTCGATTTGCTTAGTGTATGGTTGCCTTGCTTTATATTCATAAAGCGGGAGGAAAAGGCATAAGAATCTTGAACATAGTGCACTTGAATACACTTCCAAGACTTCTGAACATGATTTCAACAGAGAATGAAAATGAGTGCCACATCTCTCTAACCTTTTGGATAACTAATTACAGTAGAACAGCTCAGGTAGCTTTTCTTGAGCCACAGGACCTGGCTGCTTTGATGGGCGAAATCTAGATTGAATCAACCAATCTGAATACAGCATACTTTGGTATATTGTAACATACAACCTGGGGATGGCTGGCGCCCTGATGATGCTCCCTGAGCCAAATACTCACCCATTACCATTAATTCTTGGAATATATTTATTATTTGTTTAGGACTACTGTTATATTGTATTTTTAATTAATTTTATCTTCTCTGTAAGCTGCCCAGAGTTGCTTTTTAATGAGATGGGCAGTGAGAAATTTGATATACAAATAAAAATAAATAAGATCAATTAATTACATCCATTAAAAATAGGGGAAGGAAACAATCATGTATAACTTGATAAAATGGATGGTGGGTATTTAACTTGGAGGTCCCAGGAAATAGAATGATTCTAGAAGTGGGTTTTAAAAGTATGAGAAGCACATTTAAAGTTGAGGAATTGTGCGAATGCATCACATTAATTTTCCATAAACAGCAAAAGGCAACTTACGATATTCATAAAGGCTTCTGAAACGGCAGCTCTCTTTGTTCTCATTAGCTGTTTTGAATGGGCAAATCCTTGGAACAGACATATCATAACAATGACCGCCTGCATCCTGTGCCTGTTTAACAAACCGTGTAATTTCTTAATGAGTGCTATATCTAGCATAAGGAAACAACTTTGCTTGTTAGAAAGCTGTACCAACACATCCATTCTAATAGTTACTGTTTAACATACCAAAAAAAAAAAAAAAAGTCCTCTGGATCTGCTTGCTAAAATAATTATTTTGCATACTCCAAGCAACTTTCTTCCTTATTTTTCATAGAAACCACAGAATGTGCTCAAAAGTAAGTATTTAAAAAAATCTTAAGTTTCTTTCATTTTTAAACATAGCAATTTTGTATCCTCCCCCAAGTTGTTTTAGACAGGTTGATTAGAAAATTCTAAAAGTGTCAGTGAGACACGGGCAAAATGTATTCAGTTCTGATCTATTTCTATTTCTATTATTTCTATTTCAATTATTTCTATTTTTATCTCCATCCTGGTCAGCTCTACCTTGTTAATTAACATTTTCAAGGGACCAGCCATATTTCTGTGATGTATACAGGTCTGAACCTAGACATCTGTACAAGAGAACACAACTTCTGATTCAGTCTAGTTTCATAAGCAGAAAAGCTGTACATGGAACAAGAAACATTTATGCTCCCCAAAGAAAAAGCAGGGAACAATAAAATTGCATAAAAAAACCAACAACTTCTCTTTGGAAATACTTTTTCTCTTGTCTAGAAATAGCTACAAATCAGAACCTATATCCATTCAGTTCATTCATATGAATGAACCTATAGGATGAACTTCTAATCACAAGAAAGGAACTGAAGCACTATTTGCAGATCAATCAACACACTGACATGTCAGAACAATTTCATACATATTCAAGTCATACTGCTCTAATAATTATTATTATAATAATAAACATCTGGCTGTGTGACCAACCATAACAATAGCAGTAAGGTATTAAGCTTGTGTCCACCCAATTCTCAACAACTCTGGCATTTAAACATTTTAAAAATGTGTCTATGTATTCTGCTAATCAAAGCTCCCTCTCCTTATTCTTTTCTCTCACTATCTTAAGAATAACTAAAGAAAAACAGTAAAACTATGTAACTCCCTTTATAGCTGGTGGCAGTCCTTTCGTCTTTAGAGTTTTAACAAAGACACAGATAGCTTCAGGGGGAAAAAAGAAATAAATTACCAAGCATATGCCTCTCTACAAACATACCTCTTTTAGTAGTCCAAAAGACGATAGTTAATACTTACTGAATTTAACATTCACCTGTTCCTCCAAGAGTTTTAAATGTTGAGATGGAGACTCCTGACACAATATTTATACCAGAATGTATGATAAAGGTCATAGATAAGTTACAACATTTAACTTTTCCCTTGAAATTATTTACTGCTGGCATCTCTTCCTCTTCTCCTTTTAGTTGCTACTTCAGTTTAGTAATATTGAAAGAAGCTCATTGAAAACCAGATCTGGCTTAGGCACTCCTTACATTTTTAGGACTGTTATAGGTTAGTGAGATGTTCAAGCTACTTCAGAGAGAAGTGGAACATTGAAGGGAAGGAATTTCAAATACAAAGGCTTTGTATCATTCCATGGACTTCTAATCAGAAGAATATGTTTGTTTCTACAGTTTTCCAGCACATTCCCTATGCGTGCACTGCTAAGAATATATTATCCATAAAACGTCAGGGATTCACCTTGCTGTTGTTTGATATCCAGACATCTGAGCTCATAGATCCTATGTGTTCCATCACTGGCAGGTTTGGAAAACATATTATCATCTGTTTCTGAAGCCAAACATAATTTGAACATTTGGATCCTATCCTATGATTAAGAGGTCAATCTGTCAAGTGCAAGCCAAAAGTGGCAAGATTCTAGGCACATTGCATGATCCTTCAGTATCTTCAGGAGTGCAATCACATGGGTTGTTCCAAGGAAAAATACCTCTTTCCTTTGAAATGCTTTGTAGCACTGAACTACAAGACCTACAGAGGTCATGACCTCCAAAAGAATTAAGATTTGTTATCTATCCAGGGATAATATATGCCATTGTCATTAAATGAATGCATCACTAAGAGATATATAGGAATAAACCAAACAAATAAAGACTTTGTAATTTCAGAAAAACCCATGTTGTCCTTTGTCATTATATACCCTCAATGAAAAAACCCACTGGGTTTTTCCTTCATTTTTACATTTGCATACACATTCATAAATTACACAAAATAATGATACTGTGTTATAGTATGGATGACTATGATAGGCATTTAATATCATTCTTTTAAGCAGAGTGTTCAAACTGCTTTGCAGCCATTGTCTGACTAACATTATCTTTGCAACTTTGAGTCTCACTTAATAATTTGTAGAATACTCCATTCAAATAAATGAACTAAAGTTAGTCATGATTTATATGACATTCAACCCTTTGTGTTTTCTCTGATCCTTCAGAATATTTTTAGATAAAGAATAATGTATGGTATTTGAGACATTGGTTTTTAAATCAGTTTAAGGCTGGCTCTTGGCTTTGTAGATTGTATTTTTCCTCCCAGTGGAATGAATCAGACTCCTGCATTGTTCTGAAATTTTGCTGGGTCTTCTCTTTGGCCAGGTTGAATTCATTGCCCTCTGCTGCCTTGCTGGAACACTACAATAATATTCCCCATCTCTAATATATGCAGTATGTCCTTGTGGAGACAGCTCTGTGGAATCCCTGAAATCACATGTTCTTTTGCTCTTTCTACCTGGAAACCCAAAGAAGTTTTATTTCTCCTATCCTGAAGACATTTTCTGGAAGAAAGCATGATTTTATTTACCTCTTCTCTGACCATTGTTCAGATACATCCTTCCAGGTTGCCCAGTTCTGCATGTCTCTATGTACTATTTGCCTTTCCTCAGATTTCGAAAATCTACCTGTCAATACATCTCTAGTTTCACTTGTTCTATTTTTCTCTGATTGTGAACTTATGAACATAATAAAGATTTGATTTGGAATACTTCTGATCAAATCAATGTATTGTAATAATGTGTTGTGATTGTCTGAACCGGTTGGTTGCCTCGGATTTTATTTTTGCCAAACATAGTATATGTACTATCTGCCTTTCTTCAAGTTTGAAAAATCTATTATCATTCTATTCTGATTGATTATGTGCCACCGAGTTGTTTTCAACTCTTAGAGACCACATAGATAGATTTTCTCCATGATGATCTATCCCTAACCTGTTCTTTCAAGTCTCCC